AAGAAATSTGCCATGAGCCACAGATTACAGGCTCATGGCGTGCATCAGCCCTGAGTGCCAGCAGCGTGTCCCCAAACCTTGAAGGCAGCAGAAGAGGCTTTGAACACAATCCTTGGAGTTTGCTCCCTTCCAAAAGCCAGCTGTGTTTTCTCTTTTTCCCCCCTGTGGAAATGTATGTGCCAAGCCTAACAAAAGAGAAAACACACCAGGAATGCCATTCAGGGCAGCACCCAGCTGCTCAGATGGTTTGCACAGGRTTGCTTTCTCTGGGGGAGAAAACAACCTGCTGGGTCAGGTGGCCATGGGGGTCAGACACCTTTTCCCAGAGCAATGCCAGTGAACTGARAGGGAAAGCTGACAGCACAAGACAAGGGAGTTAGCTGGGCAGAAACTTGCCAGGCTTTAAAAGGGCAGTCTGGCCATTTCTGGCTGAGGAACTGAGAGCAAAGTATGTTCTAGCAGCTTAGCGGTGATTGAATTGTTCTTTTGAAGTGCCAAGGAGATCAAAATAAAAGGCTATTTTGGGGGCTTTTTAATCCCCTACTTAGATTACCAGAAAATCCAGGTTCAGCTCTGGTGGGAAACAGGTACAAACCGTCCCCACAGTCACCACCACACAGCCCCCAACTCACACCTCCACATTAGGAGTAAAATTGCAACATCACGATGTTGGGAGGGCTTCAAGGTCAACTTTCAGRGGGTTTTAGGTTCCCTGGACAGAGTCACAGAGCATTGGGAGAATGGATCTGCAGGRCAAGGACCAGGGCAGGACCTCCAGCTCCTGCCTGAGACTGTGTGAGACACTGCAGGCTGCTCCTACCAAGAAGCCCACCCTCTCAGCTCCCATCAGATCAGTGATGCTGAAGGTCCTTGATGCAGCCCAGAGACCTCCAAAGTCCAAACCTTTGCCCTTGAGGTGACCAAAAGGGACTCAAGAGCAAGCCCAGCACGAGTCACCCTCCAGCAGGGAACAGGGAATAAAGGTTTATCTTGCTTAAACACAGATTTGAACAAAAGCAAGAGGGAAAGTCACGAGATAGGGACAGAAGTGGAGATTTGAAACAACAGGGGATTGTATCTGACACCAGTAGAGAAGTCTAAGCAAGTCCTCATGCACTGATGGAGAAGACAAGCTCCAATGCTTGTCTGTGGGCAAAAAGAGGACATTTGTCCTGAGTTAGAGCTCTGAAATATGTTTGTAAGGAAGGTGGAAATTCCCTTCCCAACTCTTTATTTTTCCTTTTGTAAGAGGGGAAGTTTTTTTTCCATCTGACCTTGCCTGGACATGGGCTGCATGTCGTGTGATTGACCCAGGGGCACTTTATTTCCCACAGACTCTGCTTGAACATGCAATACATTTCCAGGTCCTGGTGACAGTGTAAAGTTCAATTGAGGATTGCTCTGTTTAGCTGCACTGGGGGCTCATAATCCCAGTGGGTTAAAATGTTTAGAGTTAAAGAGGTTACAGGCTTTTCCGAGGGAGTATTTAAACTCCAGCTGTCAAACCACTTGCACAGATGAAATTTGTGGACTCAGCCAGCAGTACATTAAATCGCTGTTTGCTTGTCATTAATCCAGTAGCATGCATTGTCTTCACATTGCCCTAAGAGAATAATTAATCTGTAGCAAATTTATGCCTATAAAATAGTAGATCTAAAAAAAGCCAGTGACAGTTAAGAAATTCAAGGGGACACACATTGATGAGAGCCTCATCAAGGAGGCTCTTGGCAAAGCCCTTGGAATGCCTTAGGGGTCTGATCGTTTCAGAAACCTGACTAAGGGACTTGCAATCTGCTTCATATTCAGTTTAATTGTGCCAAAAAAAAATGCCACTTGCAGATTTTGCACGTTAAAAGGAGAATAAGAAAATAAATTAGAGCTTTTCCTCAGGTTTAAAAAACAAGCCTGAAAATGAGGAAGTTCAGTGTTGCAATTTCCTGGGAAACCTCAATCCCACTCCCTGTCGCTATTGTTCTGTACTTTGGTCTTCAATACAGACACMAGTCTGATAAATGAAGGGCTTCACAGACTGTTTTCTTTCCTCTTGGAGGAGAAAAAGCAGTGCAGGAACACAGGTGACATCTGCTGYGAGACTGAGACCACTTTCTCTCGTTGTTTTGAACAAGGTGACCCTGCTGGCAGTGTTTGATGTGGGAGAGGTACAAGCAAGGCTGTGGTTGGGGCAAGGCCATGCCTAGGACACGATAAGCACTTCTCAAATGCTTATCATCGAAACTCCCAGGCCAAGAGGGCTTTTCTGCTTCCCTCCCTTGTGATAAAGCAGATATTTCTGTTGACTGAATGTAGGTTCACTACAAAGAAATGGAGAAGGAGGTTGGCGTTGGAGGGGGAGGACAGTGGGATAATCCTTACTGGAGTTCTTCTGGGAAAAAGGCTGAGGCTGGGGTTCCTCTGGGCTCTACTCTCTGCTGTAACACAAAACTCTCCTCTGCAGAACACTCCAGAGCCACAAAAATACTTAAAATGCCATTTTCCCACCTCTGTAAGACCCTTTCTTCCTCCTCCTGCTTCTTCCTAAGCACCTCCCATGGCTCCATCTGATCTTGCCTCACCTTTTCCCCGAGCCCCCAGTTTTTCTGGTGGGACAGAAAGGCAGGGGACAGATAAAGTTTGGCTGGATTCTGCAAGTGCTCAGTGGGGTGAGCAGTAGCCATGTCTCCCTGTGCTGAGAGGTTTGTCCCCTGCCCCCAAGACTGCTGCCCTTCAGCAAAAAAAATCTGGGCAGTGGACTGAAAGGCCACTAGGGACAGGGAATGTCGCCCCAAGACATTTTGTAAGTAAGTCTTACTTAAAACATTCAGTGTGTGGAAAACAGGTTTAAAAAAACGAAGGCAGCTTCTACTATAAGCAGATTTCTCAAACAGATAGTTGGAAACTCTGAGGGAAAAAAATGAGGTGGCTGGTTTGGGGGTTTTCAGTTTTTGATGYTGGAAGAGGAACAACAGCCAGCTTTTGGTATGTAAAAGCACAATAGTACTCTAGTGCTAACCTCGGTGCTTGTTTTTTTCTTGTTTTTCTTTAACAACTAAATAAATTAGATCTACTCCTAGCACCTTCATCAATCATTTAAAAGGAAAATGTTTATTAGAGTGATAAACAACCAAGSCTGATGTCTCCCATCAGGTAGGACTGGCGACAAGAGAAGAGGGAATAGAAAAATCACAGAGCCCCAGAGCAGCTGAGATTGTAAAGGACTTCTGGAGGTGCTCCAAAAGGACTAAGCATTACAGATAGGACTGAACACAAYATAAACACTCGTCTGTGTCATGCTCAATACTGTTTCTTCCTAAATGCACAATGCTGTGTGCAATTCTGTCGGCTTTGTTGTTTATTTTGGTGACAAGGCTGGTGGTGGTGTGGTTACCACAGGAGTGAGAAGGGTTGAAGGAGCCTCCTTYAACACCCAGTGCAAGGTGAGCAGCACACTGCTCAGCCCCAGTGTGTATTTTGCAGGAACAGAAGATAGACAGAAGCCATGGAAGTCTGAAACCTGTTCAAGGGGAGCTTTCCCCCTTCTTCATTATCAGCAGTTTCCAGGCTGAGCCTTTGTCTGCCTCCATAACCCCCTTCCCACCCACGCACATTCCTTTCCAGCAATGCTGCTTTATTTGGCTTGTCATTATCTTTTTGTTAAATCCACTTAATTGGTGCATTTAACTCTTTGTATTCCTCAATAATCCCTCTGATATCACTTGTTTACTGAAAAAAACCAGCCGTAGCCTCAACYATTACACTTCAAAACAGCATCTAAAATTGAGGCAGGTCTTGCCAGTCCCAGTGTGGACCTGTCCTGCTCCAGTAACTCCCAAACACTCCACGAGACACAAGGGAAGCTGGACTTGATGAGCTGTGAAGCCATCCAAGTCAAAGTCTGCACACCACCAGGTTGTTCCCAGAATACAGTCTCTGTTTCCACAAGCTCCTTTAGGACAACAAATCTTCACCCCCCTGCCATGGGTTATAAAGCTTTTAGTGCCTCTGTTGCAGACCAGAGGGGATTCTCTCTCTGCTGCCCAAAGGTGATTAGTGTAGTTCCCCATGTGTTATGCATCTGCTCTAAATTTCCCTAGACAGATCTACCAGGAATCTGAGGAAGAAAATCCTAACTCTAAGTGATGCCGGCAGAAATCCCTGATGCCAATATAATTATGTCAGGAAATTAAAAAAAAATAAATATGCCTTTGGCAATTTGTTTTTATTTGGGGAACTGCTGCAAGCTTTACACACATAAAAATGCCCTAAACTCATGGCACCATCAACTGCATCCACACTGGGAACTTCATCAGTATAACCCCCCACGAAGGCTCCCTAACCACTGTACAAGGCAGCACACAGCTTTGATGTGGGAGGCTCTCTCCTTCTCAATGAGTGTTTTTGTTGGGAGATTGGGGATAGGGGGGTTTGCTTTAGAAGGACTTTGATCCACAAGATCAAATTGCTTTACTACTGAAAATGTACTCGTAGACCAAGATGATGCAGCACTCTTCTTCACTGGGGGTGTAGCACCAGGGTAAAGCTGGGGCCAGCACCCATCTGCCAAGGCATCAGCCAAAGTGCAAAGGGCTAGAGYAGAAAAAGCAGGAATGTGCAAAGATCCAACTCCTACACATCCTCTGTTAAGGTTTCTGCTGCTCAGAGCCCAGCACTACTAACTATGAGTAGAGACCTGGCCCACAGATAGTACCCAAAAGTAAAGGTTTTGCTTTATTCTCAGATCCCTTTGTAACTCCTAGAGGAGGRGTAAAGACCCTCTAAATGTTTGGGAGGGAAATCAAGAGGAAAAATGAGCAAAACCTCCAATAGTGCCATATGTTCTTAATCCACTTTTTTTTCCTGTGCCTACTGCCACACTTTTGAGAGCAGGGCACTGAGCAGGGAGTGTCCAGAAGGCTTTGGCAGAGAAGAGGTTCCAAGGCATTTCCCTGCTGACAGCAGGGAGGCCCTGCATCTGTTGGTGAAAACAGCTTGTTTCTGACATGGCAACAACATGGGTTAAATTCCAGGCATGAAGCAGGCCAGAGTTTTAACATGTTAACATGCTCTACCAGGGGAAAACTGAAGTATTTTTAGCGTGGCTGGAGTGTTTGTCTCTGCACTGTTCTGGCCTTTTTTGGAATTGTTGAGTCTGGTCTGGAAACAAATACAATAGTCTTTGCAACAGTGAAGTATCACCTATTTTCTTTTATTGTTTGTCACAAAGAAGACTATGAGTTGTACTTCCAAAGAGATTAAAGGAGAAAYATACACCAGCTACTTTCGGCACAGMCAGTTCACTTCCTGCTCCCCTATTTCTGCCCACACCCCCCAGCCCTTCCTACTCACATGCTTAACTCTGACAAAACCTCAAAACAAAATTAAAACCTTTTTCTTCATGATGAAATTCCATCCCAAGCTGTTGCTTGAAGGCATTACCCCTTGCTCCCCTGTTTGACTGGGTGAGTGTGGTAAGAGGGGTCAACAAAACACATGGTGCCCTCTCGTCCTGCCCCCCACACAGCCACTCAGAGCAATCTCCAGGACATGTCAGGAAGAATCATCTCCTGACAGAATGTTTGGTTTTATATTGTTAAAAATCCACCATGCCCAGCAAGTGAGTTAGAGATAAAGGGGGAGATGAAGTTTAAGCACAAATGTAACGACGAGAATCAACACAAGGCAAGTCTGAGGACTGAAAGGGAAATCACATGGAGTAAAGGAGGGACTCTCCCCCTTTCCTATTTTCWTATTCCATTTCAAATATATTCCCTTCCTCCTCCCCTCTGCCTGGCACTAGCATAGGCATGCAACACAGCTGTAAGGAGCAGCCATCTGACAGTCCCTGCTGCACATGGCTGCCACCAGCGTGCCCAGGGACCAGCAACACCCAGGCCACACATGCAAGTCACCCAGGGAAACAAAATTCTTGAAAGGATTAATGGTGAGAGAGGCTCGTGTGGCTGCAAATATGAGACTGTGGTTGATCATCTGCTCCCAGCTGATGGGAGAGGAGAACAAGCCTTTTCTTTGTCCCAGTTCTTCTCTTCCTCCTCTTCAGAGATTGCCATTACCAATCTGGAATTACTTCTCCAGTTACTTCTTGTTGCTTCTGGAGTGGGAGAGAAGATGGGGCAGGGGGGTTGTGCTTGGCAGCTCGGGCTCATCTCTCAGGCAGCAGGACGAAGAAGATGGCCTTGAGGAAGTGACCAAAACTGCAAACAGCGGCCACGAGCCAGTGCGAGCGAAGGCTGGGGTCAGTATTCACCACACATTTTGTGATGTCTGCCTAATGAGGAGGGAAGAGAGAAGGTCAGAGAGAGATGCCCACATCAGCCACTTCAGAAGGCTGGCCCAGCCCCACAGCCCACAGCATGGCACCACCGCTGCTGCAGCACCAGATGCTGGCTCTGACCCTTCCACACACTCAAAGTTATTAAATCAGGCTCAWGAGCCCTGCAAAATACACTTTCCTAATTTCCCATCCAGCCCTGGGGAAAGAACTGCTGCAGGAAGATTATCCAGCACTTTCCATTTTGGATAGCTAAAAAAACAACTTTCTTTCCCTGTTCAAAAGGTCTAGCAAACCTTAGCAGTATCAGCATTCCCATCCTTTTCTGTAAAGCCAGATGCTTCCCAGAGGTTGTCCTGTTTAATATCAACTCAAGTTGCTTGCACTTTTTCTCTTACCGTAATGTTTTCTTTGGAAGACATTCAAGCAAGCTGTCCCTCAATTTAAATCTAAAGCAAGCTTTGTGCCTGTGTTTGTGGATATATGTATGCCAGCAGAGATGCCTCCCAGATGTGTGGGCCAGATTTAAAGATTGCTTGGGCAGCCCATTTCAAGTATTAACAATATTAACAAGAAGAGAAACTGGCCTGCAATGATTTAAAAAAACCAGAAAAACAAAACAACAAAAAAAACCCAGCAAATTCATAGAGGTAGGCTCTCAGCTGGCACGAGAAGGAGAAAATGGAAAACATCCAGAGGGTAAAATGAGCATGACAGAGGTAGAGCGAAAAATGCATTTTCTGGTGGAGGAATCAAAAWGAAAAGCTTTGCCAGTGACATAACTGAGCTGTGGTTAAACTCCAGCCCTAGCACAAGGAGATGTGGCCTGTGGTTGTGTAACAGGGGATGCACYGTTAGCACATCAACCCCATGTGGTTTTCAGAAACAGCTTTTGGGTGGCAAATGGGAACAGCAATCAGATCACAAAGAGGGCAAACGTTCACAGCCCCAAAAGCTTTTTCTTTACAAGTTTAGCTCAGCAGTCTTCCAAATTTTACCTACATTTTTCATTGACCAAGCACAGACAAGTCAGACTCTCGACCCTGAGATRCTCCTCCCCCACAAAGGACATGAGAGACAATAAATACTCCAATAATCTTCTCTATTCCTTCTRTCTGTGTTCAAGAATGAGTGAACCTTGCCTGTCCAACCCTGCTCACCACCAGAAAAAATGGAAAAGGGGGCTGAAGGGACAAATCCCAGAGTCGGGTTAGTGAGTACAGCCACACCAACCAACCCCCTCATCATCCACAGACCAAAGCTCTGCTGACAGCAGCCTCCCACATATTCCAACAGTTCCTTGTTCACTGTGTGTAGAAGGCTGGCACACTGCACCTCACCACATTGCTGATCTCCTGGGAGCATCAGGAAAAGCTGAGGCCATGAATAATTGACAAGCAGAGACAGCAGGAAGAATGAATACAGGCATGCGATGATGGGAAGGAACAGAATGACAGGAGAAAGCTGAGTCAGCACCAAGGTGTGGAAATGCTGCTGCCTAAAGCTAAAAACACAAGCAAACAGCAAGCAGAGCCAAGATAGTTACCACAAGATGCTGCAATGTGGTACCAGGGCTTACAGGTATTTTATCTGYATTGTGGAGGAAAGTAAGGTGGCTCTCCCTGAATATTTTCAGGATGGCTTAGCACGCTCATCCTATTTGGATTTGAAAAAAAGTCTGAACTGATTCAACCTGTCAAATTACTGCAACCTGCATGGGGTCATGTTTAAAACACAGCTTGTCAAACTGTCCCTTTAGCTGAGWGAAGTCAGGACATGCAGGTATATGTCTAAACACATATATTAGGGCATCTGATTTGTGAGAAACATAAGCTTTAATGAGCTTTGGTGCCTCATGTGAGCCAGCACAAGGCCCAAATACACACAGTGGGTTGATTGCAGCTGTAAAGGGTTAACTGCCAGATGAGAAAATGTGAGCTCCTTAAAGCCCTKCTATGTTCTCCCAAAGGCAATGACCTCACCGCTCTAACCAAGAGGAGCTGCACTCAGAAGCACTTACAAATTTGAATGGGTCTTGCTTAGATAAGCAAAATTGCTCAGCTGTTTAACAATTGCCTTAACCTTATCCAAATCAAGCCTACCTGATAAGGCACTAGAATCAAAAACTTCAAAGCTACTTAATAATGCATGTCTTTTTGCCTATCAGGCACTGATAAACTGTTGCAATGGCAGTTTGATGTTCGAGGTAAATTATTCAAACAAATTTCAAGTCACACGCACTGCTTTGTAGCAAATGCTGCTAAATAAATTTAAATCTTTCTATTCTACTGTAAAGCCACTACTGAGGCTGTAAACTCTTCCCAGAAAGAAATTATGTCTCAAAGGTGGCTGCCTATTTAAAGAGGGATGGCTGGCAGAAGGAGCCAGTGGTGGACTTATCTCCTCAGCTGCACAGAACCACTGCTGGACTGGGGATGGGTTTTGCAGCTTGTTTGTTATGCAACAAACTTCCCAAAAATATCCTTCTGGAAGTATCCAAACACTCTGTTTTTGAACTCTAATGAAGCAAGACAAAAATTAAAACAAGATGCTAACTTATCAGAGCATGCCAGTTTCATCAAAACAAAGAAAAAAAATACTTGGAAACTAGAAAGAGATGTGTTTCTATGCAACATTTCTGTTTTAATGAAATCAGATCTTTGAAATAAAGTTTCAGAGAATATATTCCAAGCAGCTCTACAGGTATGCAATAAAGTAAGCCTCAAATTACACCGAGACAGGGACTGACATTAACAGGCAGGAAGTGTTACTTAACCTCAGGATATCCTCTTCACCTGCCTCGGCACAATTAATTTTTGGAATGCAAAATGAAACCGATCAGGGCATTCAAATCAAAGGTTACTTTTAGCCCAACCAAACAGTTCCCCGAATCAGTTGGCCTCAAGATGACACAGTTTTAGAGAGGACAGGGATGATTTAAGGTAGGATTAGTACTTAGTAAATGCAAAGCATCAAAAATCAGAACAACGATAGTTTTTCCAGTTCCTTATCACAAAAAAAGGTGTCTTCACTCCTGAAGAAATCAGGTGACTTAACCAGCTACTGACACAATTGGGAAGTCACAGGACAAGGGAGCAAGACTCAGTTTGGAAAAAGACACCTCCCTCTCTCCAGATCTGTGTGGGTGGGAAGCCTGACTATTTCCTGATGGCTCAGAAATAAATTTCACCTCTTGGAAGAGAGGGAATTTGCTGCCATGGTTTAGTCTGGAAAGTGTGCATGCCTTGGGAACAAGATGTCCCATGAACTCAGTGGTGTCACAGGGCAATATTGTACCCCAAGCAGCACACTAGAGGATCCAAGGAGTGTCTGTATCCCTGACAGACAGACACATGGAACCGGAAACATCACCCAGCTGCCAGCCTTTAACACAGTCAGCCAGTCTGTCTAGACTGCTGGGGAGGTCCTGGAAAGGTATCCAGCTATTGACAGCACCAAAATAAAGGTCTAACTCTGAATGAACCTCCACAGGGACCAGTGCTCACATTGGGAATAGAGAGAACAAAGAAATAAGTGTTAAGAGGCAAAAGGAGAATTTAACTGGCAAACCTCATTTTTTGCCTGTTTCTCGAAAACAGCTGGCCAAGAGTATCACAGAATCAAAGAATGGCTTTGGTTGGAAGAAACCTTAAAGATCATCCAGTCCCACCCCTTACCATGGATAGGGACACCTTCCACTATCCCAGGCTGCCCCAAGCCCCATCCAACCTGGCCTGGAACACTTCCATGGATGGGGCAACCACAGCTGCTCTGGGAAACCTGTGCCAGGGCCTCACAGGAATGACCTCCACAGTGTCCYACTGTGACTGGCTGTTAGCTCAGGAGAAGATCAGGAATACAATGAGTGCTGGTGGGTCAGGGCTGAAATATTATGCTCAGCTCTTCAGAAAGCTGAGAACAAGCATAACTGATGTTTTTGAGGATGGGGCCACAAGGCAGTAACAGTTACATAAGTCTAGCACAGGTGTAAGTAGGACAGAGGCGGCCACAGGGCTGTAGAAGAGAACCTCACACATCCTTTTTCTGCATAAAGCTGCAGGGAGTGCACTCTCACTTTCATTAACTGGGATAATTTCTGGTCTGCACATGCAGAGACAAGTTTGATGAGCCAGCACTTCTTACCCAKCCTCCTCTCCTTTTCAGCCACGTCACCAAGGTTTTGCGGACGAACTCTCCCAGGCAGTCRACGATGGTGTGAACCATGGCTGGCTGCGCGTGCCGCACGCAGTCCACTGCCAGCCCAGCTGCCACRGCATACAGGGACACCACCTTGCCCCACGTTATGCCTGTGAGAAGAGAAAAGGTCATTCATATTTACACACACACTCAGTTCAGTCTTGAATAATCAAAGGAAACCACTCTGCTTTATTAGTGTTCCCATGCTGTCTGCGTGCAGTCACAGTTCTGTATGCTCTCCACAGCAGGGGAAAAGAAACACTAGGGGAGCAGGACTGGGGAAAACTCTCCACAGAGAGAAGCAGAATGAAACAAGCTGACCTTGGTATGGTTTGATTGCCTCTCAGAACTGGCGGAATAGCTTTGGGAAAAGCAGCCCAAAGGCATCTTCAGGATTGGGAAAATGTGCACCACCTTGCTTTGCACTGCCACTGGTTCTCAGCCTTGCACATGCTGCACAGGAGGTGACAGAATTCAAACACTTTGAACAATCTGGGGTTTTTGTCTTCAACACAAATCTTAAGCACCCTTAGACAAAGCAATCCTGTTTTTTTCTAAATCAGAGAAAACCRTTCCAAAGTGACAAAGCACATGAGATATGCATCTTCAGCTCTATCACGGCACAAAAGCCAGGGGAAGCAATGCTATAAAGCCCAGAAGGCCCATAGAATCATAGCTGGAATAGAGGARTTRTAGAATSCTGAGCTGGMTGGACCCAYAAGGACYAYTGATCCAGCTCCTGGCCCTGCACAGGACACCCCAGCAATCCCACCCTGTGCCTGAGAGCATTGTCCAAACACCCCTTGAGCTCTGGCAGCCTTGGGGCTGTGACATTCCCYGGGGTGCCTGTTCAGCACCTGCCCACCCCCCAAGGGTGGGCATATATCATATYCAACACAGSTTCATGCTATTCCCTKGGGTCCTGTCACTGCTCACCAGAGAKCACAGTGCCTACCCCACCACTCAGGAGGGCTGGCGTCCTCTTCAGTGTAAGGACTAGGCCTCAGTCTCCACCTCAAAAACAGGTAACTTCAAGGATTTGGCCACTCTGCCTACTTAACATTGCCTGTGCTACCCCAGTGAAGGCAGTGCAGGGGTGGAGAGTCACTCAGATATCTAATCTCCCAGCAGACAGCYTTCCTGCCAGGCTGGCCTGCCTGCAGCAAGTGCTCCATGGAAGTTGTGCCAGCAGGAGTCATCTTCCTGTTAGTGTTAGCAGTGAGGGTGGGAGCTTAGCTCTAGGTACCAGCCAACCTCTYGGGGGCTCCCAACAGCAGGGGACACAAATCCTTCATGCTCAAATACTGCAGTCAGTTGCCCCTCATAAGGCTTTTATCAGGACCAGTGACCTGGAAGCAYAGCCCTTTTGCTCCCATGCAGAACTACCACTGCACAGTGGCACCCCTTCTCCCTTTTTATCTGTAATAGCCATATTTATCAAGCATACTGTAAAGTATTTTACAATGTCAGATCTCCATGGAACCTGTCCAAAGTCTCTCCCAAACATAGCCAGAAGCCTGGTGAAATTCTAATATTTAAAAACCACACAGAACTGCTCTTGCAGGGTTGCAGAGAGGATGGAAAGACTCGTGCAATGATTAGATCTATGGGCCAGGAGGGGTTAAACACACCAGCAGAAAACTGGATGTGCTCAGCATGGAAAAATACAGTTTAAATGGGGTAAAGAGTCTCCCTCTTTCCTTCACTGCACTCTCAGATCCCCAGGTAGCCTGAACCAGCTCTGGGGTGGAGCTTCAGGCTCCTCACAGCTGTTCTCACCGAAGCATAATGCCCCATATTTCTTCAGAAAACATGCAGATTTCAGAGCATTGCCACAATTCTTACACTTAGTGCCTCAAAAGGGACACTCACACTAACACTTTTAGGAATTGCTTGTTTTTCCTTAAATAAAAACAAGAACTAAACTTTAGAGGAACTCAAATGTCAGCCACAGGAATACCTTGTTAGACTGACGAAAATCTATTCAGTGCTAAAAAACCCACCATTTTTTCATGACAAATAAAAGATCAAAATATAGAGATGAGGCTTTTGTGAGGCTCTGCAGCAACTGTAACAGCACTAGCTCAAATCTTCTGTGATACTGTCATTCCCCAGAACCATCCCCGAGATCAGAGGAAGTTATTAATGTAGCTAAAGTGACTGTTTCTTCTTTTGGTTTTATTTGCCAAGCAGACCCTGCGGTGTCCCTGACATCAGCGCTGTCACTCAGGAAGTTCACTGCCTGTTTGGCATTCACACTATTTATCTGCCTTTCTCACATTGTGTGTCACCATGACAGCCAGCAGAGYGAGCCAGGAAGAGGCTATGAAACCACCCAAGACTAAGCAGAGGGGTTCTCCCTGCGACAAAGGGGTTCTCCCAGTGCAGGTCAATACCTCTCCACCTAATAAAAGAGGCTTTAAGGGGTTATGCTCCTTGCTGATGATATCCACAGGACTAGAGCCTCAGCTGGCTTATATTCAGCTTTAGTGCAAGTCAATTTTACAGTTCTCCATCCCTGCAGAAATGTGGTTCCTTGCATCTTRAGTTATATAACAAAAGTTACCCAGAATTCTGGGGAAGAGTTCACTGGCTCATTCCCAAGCTTTCACTGACAGCACTCTTTAAATACATCTGAAACAAGTCCATTAGCTCAGATATTTACATGGCAGTAGCAAAGACTGACAGGACTGGGGTCACTCTGGCACAGAAAGACAGCTCCAGTCTTGGTTACCCTTGTTTTGAACCCAAGTTTCTCCTTCCAACAGAAGAAAAGTGTATCCACAACCTGTGAAAAATGAAGGCTCCAGAGACCCATGACTTCCCCAGAACACAGGAGAGCAGTTTGCTCTAAGGCACATCAGTGCAGAGAGGATGGAGAGGAAGCCCTCCAGCTCCACCTTCCCTGCCAAGGTTGTTCCACAGTGGTACCTGCACAAGGTGAATGCTTCCCCAGCACATGGAGAGAGCCCCTCTCCCTTTCACCAGCACAAAGAGAATGAGCTCTTGGCTAATGTTTATTACAGTGATGGATGTAGAAGGCTCAAGGGTCACATCCTCTTTCCAGAGAGTGCCCGTAAGGGTCAAACCAATCCTTCAGTCTGCCTTTCCTGTTGCTAGCAGAGCTGGTCCATAGGGGCAGGAGAGGAGGAAATCCCCTCCTGATTTCCATTTGTCTGGAAGTCCTCTTGCCACTGCTGGAGCAAGAAGATGGAGACAGCTGGCTAGGCTTCTCACTCACAACAGCAGGGCATACCTGATGCCCTTGTTCTCACTAGATGTTGTAGGGTTACAGTTAGAAAAAGAAAGAAAAAGAAGAGAGAGAAAAGAGAGAGAGGGAAAAGAGAGAGAGGGAAAAGAGAGAGAGGGAAAAGAGAGAGAGGGAAAAGAGAGAGAGGGAAAAGAGAGAGAGGGAAAA